TGGGTACGGAAGCTATCTTTGTCGTTGTTCGACTCATTTCGACGAGTTCTTTCGAATGTAGCATTGTTTGTCCAAATCGGAGTATGTGAGATATGACATAATTTCATCAAATCTTTTTAAATTAAATTAATAAAAAATACCGGAAAAAAGACCCACAAGCCCTACATGTACAAACTCCATAATGAAAATAAACATGTTCTTTTGACTCACAAACTTTGCATTTTTTAATAAAACTTCTTTGCATTTTTAAAATTAATTGGGTATTTTTTCTGATAAAAATAAAGTTGATAAATGCTTATTATCAGGCTTTCAAAGATACATATTTTTTAAAAATTTAAATGAACGGTTTAATTAAAAAATATCGTTTATTGAAATTTTTTTCAGGCAAAAATAATTTTTATTTTAAATTAACTAAAAAGAAACACGGCTTTATTAGCTTTTAAAATAATTAATATTATAATTCTTTATATTCCATTAAATATAAAAAAAATTGTTGGCAAAATTGTTAATATAATAAAATTTAATATACTATTATATGGACGATTTTGGGGGTATGCGAACGTGTTTAACTCTCATTTAAGTTTGTAAAATTATCAGCTGAATAAACAAATAAATTTTCTAAACAAAAATTAAATAGAAAAAATTTGAGTGATATTAAACTTGAATGATTGGAATTAATCAATTTGGTTAACTTCGAGGCTTCTCTCCTTACTTTCTATGAAGGAATATTTTATTTCATAAATAAAATTTTATTTTAAAAAACTTAAATTAATTCAAAATAGCTAATTAAACACACTAAAATTTAAATGAAAAGGAAAACCACAAAGCGCGTCGCAGCCAAAAATTGAAAAAATTGGAAGGCCAATAAGCCAAATTTTTATAAATTTTTTAAATTTTGGATAGGCAAAGAAATTCAGGCAAAAAATTTGAAATTTCATAAGAAATTAAGAGTTACATTTCTCATTAATAATAAAATCATTAATAAATGTAAAAAATAAATTTAGAAGCTAGAAAGCGAGATCAAAGTTAAAAAACATTTTTGTACTATGTGAGTCTATGTATGTGAGTCTCAGATTAATTTTCCTCCTTTTTAATGCCAATGATTCTCTCCTTCAAATGTAAGACACACAAAAGAGCGCGCGGCCTTCGTGCGCAGTGCCGAAAAATTTTTATTTTTGGTATCAATCTTTTTAGAACGATGAGAGGAATCGTTATCTAACCTTCTACCCCTCTCAATACAAAAATATTTATTATTATTTTCTCGTGTTTATTACTTTATTAATATAATTAATTAAATTATAATTAAATTATAATTTAATTAAAATTCCCAAAAAAAATTTTTTAAAATTAAAGATAATAAAAAATCAATTTCCGTTTCATTTAAATTTTTTGTTTGATTAGCTGTTTTGAATAATTTTTTTTTAATTTAAATAAAATAATCTGCTTATTAATTTAAATTTTCACTCCCAGAAAGATGACAGAGAAAGTTTCAAATTTAACTAAATTGATTAAATCCAACCATTCAAGTCAACTTAACTTACTGCTACTTAATTTTTGTTGAGAAAATTTTTTTATTTAGCTGATAATTTTTTAAAAACCCAACGAATGCCGCTATACTAAAATCATTCATATAAATTTTTAAATTTAATATACTAGCAATTTTGCCAACAATTCTTTTTTATATTTAATGAAATATAAAAAAATTATTTTAAAATCTAATATACACTAATTTATTATCCCTTTTTTATGATAATAAAATTTATTTTTTTGTGTGGAAACTTTTTACTAGAAAATATTTTTGATTAAACTATTTATTTATATTTTTTAATATTATTGTCTGAAAATACATTGTATTCAATTTAATTTTGATTTCTCCGAGATTTGCTCAGAGATTCAAAATAGAAAGTTATAAAGTATGGGAAAATTGGAAGGAGATCAGGGACTAGCCGGGTTAGTATGATCTAACTAGACTGAAATCTAGTACTCCTCTTATAAAGTCCCCGGCCATAAATGAGGAACTAATAACTATCAAACAACTTAACTATTTATTTACAAAAAGACAAGTTCAAACTAGACTAGGACACGGATACTGATTTTTGGTATCCGTATCCGGATAATTATTGGCGGGTACAGACGGATATTTGCAGGCATTTCTATAATATCTGTATCCATGTCCTAGTCTGGTTCAAACTTAGGCCCAAAACAAGGCAAAAAATTAAACATAAAGAGACATTTATATATTTACAAATTTGAAATATCACAAATGTAGGTTAAGGAAAAGGTTGATAAGAAACTATAAGGAGAAATAAATTCAAATAATGTTTATTTTTATTATTTTAAAATAAATAATAAATAATCTTAAAATCTGGATTCAACACCTCCTCTTCACAGTCTGCCAGAAATAATTAATTTATACGTGACCCTATCTTCAGTTTAACATTATTATTAGCTAATTATGCATTGTCACATTTTAATAAATTTACCTATATTTTTCTAGAAAAATATATTTTTATTTTAAAAATGCAAAGAAACTTTAACAAACAATGCAAAGTTTGTGGGTCTAAGGAAAATGTTTGTTTTCATTATGGAGTTTGTACATGTAGGGCTTGTGGGGCTTTTTTCAGGTACTTTTTTAACAAAATTTAATTTGGAAAAATTCTTTCTCAAAAGACGTTATCTTGAAACCGGAATTGAATGGAAATGTAATTATAAATGCTCGCAAAAACAATTGTTAAAAGAGAATAAAGACGGAAAATCCCAAACAAATTTGGTTAAATGTAGAAAATGTAGACTTGATAAATGTCTATCTGTTGGAATGAAAAGATTGGGTTTGTTAAAGTTAGAGTTCAAACCCTTCAAATTGCCGGGCTCATTATCTATGTTCTTGCAATCACGGGCCGGGGGTTTTAGGCCTTTGGGCTCTGATTAAAAAATTTAAAAATAATTCTTAATAGAAAAGTTGATTTTAGATATTGGATATTACCGTCATGATCTATGTTATGATAAAATGAAAGAAGAAAGGAACGAAGTTAACGTAAGTCTATTTATTCCTAAATTTTTCTACATAATCATACATTATTAAATACTGGGAATCTTCTAGTAGAAGCGCGTTTTCTAATAGAATCTTCTTTCACACGTATAGTATATAATGAAAGAAGAAAGGAACTCTATATGGTAGATCGCGACAAACCTAGACTAATGAAGATTACTGTAAAGAGCGTCATAGTTTCAGGAACTGATTTAGAAACTAGGGTGGCATTTCCTACATGTGTATCTGTTGCTGTGTAAATTGTCGAATCCGGGAGGCCCTGGTATGGTTCGATGCGCCTCAACGGTCTGAAACGAAACATACCAGGACTCCCGGATTTGATAATTTTAAATGAAGTTATGGCTCGGCAGTATACTGGGCTCGCGGTATACTGGCCTGCTCCCATTTGTAGCCGTTGGTGGATTAGTATTCAATAAATATAAACTAGAGCGGAACAGGGTTTCCATCTGACGGATGTCTGGGAGCCAGTATACTTGTGAAATGCAATTGTTTGCTTACGCAACTTCTGCTTTTTATTCTTAAGCTGTCAACTTCCCCGATTGTCGACAACACCATGAAAGACCAGAACATGATAAACTCAATTTTACCAATTATTGAAGCCCAAAAACGTATTATGCATGCATTTAATGATTTGGATGATATATTCCTTAAAGGCCCGATTTTGTTTGAAGAAATAATTTTGTCTGATTTTAATATTTTTCGTTTAACTGAAACTTTTTCGGTAAATTTTAATTTAATTTTCAATAAAACTCAATCTTATTTAAAGCTAAATCCAAGCCCAATACCTTTGGATGAATTAAAAAGTTGGGAATCTTCAATGCAAAATGAGGGAATGTTTAACAAACGTTGTCACAAATATTTTTTAATTGACAGACTTTTGTGTTTTAGTATGGCTAAATCATTGCCTGTTTTTGAAAAATTGACTTTATCTGATCAAGTAATAAGAGCATTTTACATTTTGTATTAGGCTAACTTTCTTCTCTCAGTTTAGTTTAAAATAGAGTTGGATAAGACGAGACCGATACCGAGACCGATACCGAGATTAGGCTTTTTACCAATATTGGTCTCGGTTTTTTCATTCTCGTTCTCGAAACCGATACCGATATTCTCGGTCCATTTCTCGGCGAGAAACGATACTGACTCAAAGACCCCAATTTTCTTGTATTTTTTAATAAAACTGAGGATTTTTGACCTTTGGCCTTCTGAATTTCAAAAAATTTTCGCCTGCGGCGCTGAAAAGAGTGAATCCTTCTTTATTTGCTTTACAAAATCAGAACATTTAACTGAGCCCTCACGATTGAGTTCGCACGACTGAGTTGCACTTTTATCTAGCTCAACAAAGTCCCAGTAAATTAATAAAATTAAAAGGCTTAAATACAATACTGGGTTATTTGGAGGGATTTGGGTGTTTAAGGGGATATCAATGAATTTGGAGGGATGTCGTATATAAGGCGGATATCGTTATATTTGAAAAGCTAATGGCGGATTAAGTGGACTATAATTGTATAAGTAGACTATAATACTTTTACCTATAAATCCTACTATTGTATTTTTTATAAAAAAGGATGTTAACCATCAATCGAGTCGGATCCAGATGATGAAGAGTATTTATCTAATGATTTGGATGATGAAAATAATAAATAAATTATTTTTACACGTATTTTTTGACGTAAAATAAAATTTTCTGTTAGTCTCGGTCAGTATCGTTTCTCGGTATCGGTCTCGGCTCAAAATGATGGTATCGGTCTCGGTATCGGGTTCTTGAGTATCGGTCAATCTCGGTCTCGGGTTGGCCGATACCAGTATCGTTTTGTCCAACTCTAGTTTAAAACTAAAAATGAAAATTATCCTTTTTTGGTTTTTTACTTATTCAGAGAGCATTAACCATAAGTATATTTTTGGAGGGATCTGCCCTTTATAAGAAAAATTAATTTTTATTTCTATAAAATAGATTGCACATCTAAGGCAGATTTGTCATTTGTTTACTTCATTTACAAACACCTACCTAGCTTGGGAATTAGGTTCTGAAACTTGGACACGTAAAGATAATGTTATGCCTGTTCTTGGTATTATGAATAATAGTGAATATTCACATGATGAAAAGTAACTATTTTTCTAATAATTTTAGTCAAATTTTTAATCTTAATAATAAAATTCTACACGGTCTGGCAAATTTACCGCGTTTTTATCTTGACCAAATCTCTCTTTATTCAAGAAAAACAGTCAATTCTTCATTCGGGGCCCGTAGAATAAATTCGGGGTAAAGGGTATTTAATCACTACATTGGGGTTAAATAACCCGTAACCCGCAGAATAAATTCAAACCCCTAGCTTCGGGTTAAATGACCGGGTCAGATAACCCGGTTATCTGACCCGCGTAACCTTGCCTCACTTTATCCAAAAAATTTGCTCAAGCCCTGATAAAATCTAAAGTCTAAATCATAAAATTTAAAAGTGTTTTAAAATTTAAAGGCACCCTTGTAAAATAATTTTATGAAATTTCTAATTGAGAAGATATGGAATATATTTTCAGGTTGCTTAAATGGGCAGATTATTCCTTTACAAAATCTGTCGTTCACTTCAAACGTGTTGCATTAACAAACGTTGAATTTGCTTTGTTAATAGCTATTATTTTTACAAAATCGGGTAAAAACTTTAATTTGAAATAAGGGTTTATGGCTATAGTAGAGCTAAGGCTAGGGTATAAGGCTAGGGTATAAGCGCCTAAACATGACCCTCTATCATTTCAATTTTTTTAAATATTTTTATTTAAATAAATTTTTTTCAAAAAAGATGCTGAAGGCTTGTCTCCCGAAGGAAAGGACCTACTTTATAACGAGTCTATTAAATTCACAAAAGTTTTACTTCGATATAATCAAGGAAGATTAGGTTTAATTGAAGGGGCTCAAAGATTGGATGAGTGTTGCCGTTTAATTAGTCGAAGTATTGAAAATGAATATACTTTGCGGTCAATGCTTTCTTACCAACTTAAATATTATTCAATGGATGAAACTTACTATAAGTGCCCAAACTTTATGACAAAACTTTTGGAAAGAAGTGATTAAAAATGAATGATTTTTAAAAATAAAATAATGTATAACAGGGGTGGTGCAAGTGCCAAAAAATACGAGACACGAGATACGAGATTCTCAAAAAATACGAGATATGAGACTAACGAGATATGAGACTAACTAATATCAGTGGATTGGAGGATATATGGGATTCGGGTATTCGAAGGCTATAGTTCATGAAGGATTAAGGGGGATATCGGGGGACAAAAACATCTCAGGAATCTAGAGTGGCTTTCCAAATATAATAATATCCACCTTAATCCTGCGATTTCCTCTTCAAATCCGACTTTTCACTTAAATCCACTGATGGTGATTAATAGGGACATCGAGGGAATTTGTGTTAATCCTCCGATATCAATAAAACCCCATTTTCTTATTTTCAAGCGCCGCAGGCGAAAATTTTGAGAATTTTGGCAGACCAATGGGTTGACATTTTTTCTAAAATAGATTGACAATATCTAGTGTCTCATGGCAAAATACAAGATACGAGACCTCTAAAAAACACGAGATACGAGACGAGCGCCACCCCTGTTGTATAACCTCTATCAATTTCCCTTCCTCTCTATCGAGAAGTTACTTAGAGTAATTATTCCTTGAATCACCTATTTTTCTGATGTAATTGTAATTTATAAAATATTTTTCCTATTTTTAACCTTTCTAAAATTTCTGTTCTCTTTTGTGTTCTTAATTAAAGTTGGCGGATCCGAACGACGGGGGCGGCTCGTTCCGCTCAACATACCCGGCTTCCTCCGCAGGAAGCCGGGTATACCGCCAACTTATTAAAGTTGGCGGTATTATTACTAAGTATTATTCAATGGACAATATATTATTCAATGGATAGTATTAAATGTTCAAACTTTTTTTTAAATTTTAATGAAAAGAACTAATTAAAAATGATAAAATTTGAAGAAATTTTTTTCAATTTTAAATAAAATAAATTAATTTTTGTCGGTCAATATATGTACTATTATTTAAATGGGTATATGTAAATATAAATTTTCATTTATTCATTTTTTATTAGCTATCTTAAATAATATTTTTATTTTATACTTAAAGGTGGGGAGGATTTTATAAAAAAATTCCAATCTGGCCGAGTGAAAAAGCTTTAGTGTAGTTCAAAACAACTTTTTAAAAGCCGTTAATCTTTTCTTTTTTCCATCCACCCTCATTAACTAACATTTTCTTATTGCTAATATTATAAGTAATTAGTAGTACACACACACCAAACGTTGGCACAGGAAAGCAGAGCTAGTGACAACTCCTTTTTGGTTAAATAAGTGCCGAGATAAAGTCACATAAACTACAATTTTCCCCTCTTATTTTTATTTTTTACCTTTTATTCACGCACTATTTATAAATTTATTTCGACCTTTAAAAGTTACTAATAGGGTTGGACAAGATTGGTTATTACCCGGTACCACCGGTTTTCGGTTATCGGCGTTTTTTAACGTACCCCCGGTTTTCGGTTAACCGAGACCGTTTTTTGACCAAATTTTCATCCAGATTATCCCAGTCATGTTTAAGAAGTAAAAATTATCTTTAGTCAATGCTTTGAAACAATATTCGGTAATCCTTAAGATCATTGGTCCTTAGGAAAAAAATGCTAAAAAAGTGCTCTTTCGATAATTTTGAGGTTTGCCAGTAGGTAAACGAGTGTGCTGATTCTGAATCTGAGCTTAAAATATGTCTATTTGTATCCCGAACCTTAAATTCGACATAGTCGAATTTTCCATTTCACTTTGTAACGTTAAAAAAAGAAATCAGGCTTCTTGGCCTCCCAAAATTCTCAAAATTTTCGCTGCGGAGCTAAAAGGAAAAGCCCTGATCTTGCTACCAATTTCTACCATCACAGCAACCAGGTGGCCAGATTAAGAGTGATAAATCAAAACCCCAAGAAATCAAAAGCCGAAAAAAACCTCGGAGGCCCAGAGGCGCAGGCAAAAATTTTTGAGTAGATTTCTCTTTTTGACAGCCGCAGGCGAAAATTTTGATAGGGAAAACTAAAAGGCCAGAATTTGTTTTAAAATGCAAAGAAACTTCATTAAAAAATGCAAAGTTTGTGAGTCAAAAGAAAATGTTTATTTTCATTATGGAGTTTGTACATGTAGGGCTTGTGGGGCTTTTTTCAGGTATTTTTTATTTTAATTTGGAAAAATCTTCTTAAAAGGCGTTATCTTGAAAACGAAAATGATTGGAAATATATTAGTAAATGTAAATGTTCAAATGAGAATAAAGACGAAAAGTTCCAAACAGATTTGGTAATATGTAAAAAATGTAGACTTGAAAAATGTCTTTCTGTTGGAATGAAAAAATTGGGTTTGTCGAAATATTTAAAAAATAATTTGAAAAGAATTTTAGATGTTGGATATATACGCCAAGATATATGCCGGGAAGCAATGGAAGGAAAAGGGAACGAAATTAAAGTAAAATTCGTTATTTTCTAACCTTGGAGGCTTGTAAACTTTGAAGGCTATAACACTTTCAAACGTAGTTCAATGGCATACTCCAGGGCCTACTTTACAATACGAATCCCTATAAAACATTATTTAGCATTCTCGACACTACTAGACAAGATTTCATTCTAAAAACCCCCGACAGCCTTGGGTCTTAAAAATATCGCTTATTAGATAGCTTACTCTACCCATAACCAAATTTAAAGAACGTATATTAAATTGAAGTGTCTCTTGTAAGATTGGCGGATCCTGGAAAATATTCGGATATCAGTATCGAATATAAGAAGCAAAATTTTGGTTATTCGGATCCGAAATTTTTTATTAAAATACATAGTAAAGATTTCTTGATACAAAAAGGGCCCCCTTTTCACCGATACATGTGAAAATTTAAAAAGGCCAAGAAGCAGAATATTTCTTTAAGTAGAAAAGAAGTACGAGTTTGTTCAGAAATGATTTTCCCAGTAGGTCCTGAGAAAGCTTTACATCGGTTTCCGTATATCAGGTTTCCGTATATCCGCAAACATTCTTTAGTATTGAGTGTATAGGTTTGACTCAATTATTTTATAAGGTATTAAATCCTCCAATTGTCGACATATCCACCAAAGATCGACAACAAATAAACTCAATTTTACCAATTATTGAAGCCAAAAAACGTATTATGCATGCATTTAATGATTTGGATGATATATTTCTTTATGGCCCGATTTTGTTTGAAGAAATAATTTCATCTAATTTTAATATTTTTCGTTTAACTGACACTTTTTCAGTAAATTTTAGTTTAAATTTTAATAAAACTCAATCCTATTTAAAGCTAAATCCAAGTACAATACCTTTTGATGAATTAAAAAGTTTGGAATCTTCAGTACAACGTGAAGGATTATTTAATAGTAGATTTCAAAAATGCATTTTTGTTGACAGATTCTTGTGTTTTAGTATAGCTAAATCTATGCCTGTTTTTGAAAAATTGACTTTACCTGATCAGGTGTTTATGTACATTTATTATGGCTCTCTTTATAAGGTCAACTTGATATTTTATGTTTGAAAACTTCATACAACCTTCAGAGGATTCTGAGGAGATATCAAGGATTTGGGGGATTGTGTGTACTTCGTAATCTTATGGCTTAAGATTATTTGCAAGGACTAAAAAATATCGGAGGGTTTTTGACATACGTCGAATGTAGGGAATTGAGGGGGATACAGGGCGTATTACTAATTAAAATATACCGTGGTCAAAATCCCTTGTATGAAGTCCAATCACTTGTAGCCATACCCCTGGTATATGTCGAAATTCTCCAATGTCGCCCTTACTAAGTCCATTCAATCATTAGTACCCGATAGCCATCTTAATACATCTCTTATACCTAATTTGTCTTCAAATCCGCTTAAGCCATCATAATCACGTGATTTCCACCTTAATCCCTCGATATCCCTTATAGTCCCCTTAAGCCTCCACAACTCTTCCGATATCCCTCTTAATCCTCTAAATATCCTTAATCCCCTAGTATACCTCTTAATTCTCCGATATACTTCACTGACCATTGTCCACTAATGCATTTTCCACCACGCATTGTTCATTGACAATTTCGCAATACAGAGTGATACCGTTCGATTTAGCTCGCCGAATCGAATCTAACACAGCCCTAAATTACTCGATTACTCTAAAAACATTTTATACATAAAATAGATTGCATATCTAAGGCAGATTTATTGTGTGTTTACTTCATTTACAAACACCTACATATCTTGGGAATTAGGCTCTGAAACTTGGATACGTAAAGATGGTGTTATGCTTGCTCTCGTTCTTAAAAACAGTAAATATTCACGTGATCAGAGGTTAATTTAAAAATTTATTAAAAAATAAAAAGTAGCCAAAAATGTATTTTTAGAATGGTTAACTGGTCAGAAATTGCATATACAAAATCTGTTGCTCATTTTAAACGTGTTGCTTTAACAAACGTTGAATATGCTTTGTTAATAGCTATTATTTTTAGTAAACCGGGTAAAAATTTTTAACATTGCTAGGGAGTCTTGCAGCAATCTGTTGCTCTCTCGGGTGTCAGTGATTATTAGGTTTTTGTACGCTCCTTTGGCGCACAAAAAGTTTTTCAAGAGAAGATTCAATTAATCGTAATTTTGTTCAAACTGATTTTGGTGACATTCGACTAAGATCCTTGTGCTCTTTCGTATGAGCCTTGTCTTATATTTGATTTTATGACCCCTAAAATTAATTTTAGACTTGTAGCTCAGATTAAATCTGTAGCTTTTAATTTAAATAGTAACTTTATTTTAAAAAAAAGGTGCTGTAGGCTTGTCTCCCGAAGGAAAAGAATTACTTTATAACGAATCTGTTAAATACACAAATATTTTACTTCGATATAATCAACGAAGATTAGGTTTAATTGAAGGGGCTCAAAGATTGGCTGAATGTTTTCGTTTAATTAATGTTGCTATTGAAACTGAACATATTTTGCGTTTAATGCTTCTGTATCATACTAAATATTATTCAATTGACCTTAAATGTTCAAACCTTATTGAAAATTTAATTAAAAGAAGTGATTAAAAATATGAAAAGTTGAAGAATATTTTTTTCAATTTTAAATAAAATAAATTAATTATATACTGTAAATGCTGAAATAATTACCCTCTCTAATAATTTCACCCTAATTTTTTACGTAAACCTTAAAAATTTTTAAAAATTATGAGCAAATTTAATTATTGTAACATTTTAAGACTTAATATCAAAAAAGGCTTCAATTCAAAGCTTTAAACTTCGTTCTTTTCCCTAAGTAAATATCCGCGCAGATTTTGGGTAGATTTTATAAATTTTGTTTTTTTTTTTGAATAAACATGTCAACAAAAATACTAAAAAATAAATAGGGCCAAAAGAAAATTTTTTGAATAAACCTTAAAAACACGAATGTACCGTAAAATGATACTAATCAGATTTCTGTTCGACTACGAGCTGTGGTTAGAATATGGGGTTTGGGTACCTTGGCAAATACCATTTAGGTATTTGGTTTGCGGATAGGCTTCCTCTAAAAATGTGCTTTTAAGGCGGGATGATGTTCTTTTTGGATAGAAACCTTTATTTTAAAAATTTGCTTTTAGGTATTAGTCTTAATGACAGATTTCTTAATGAATGTTTCTCTTATTAAAACTTAAAAAAATCATTTTATCAAGACAAAAAAATAAAAAAAAAACGTCACTGTTCAAAAAAATAATTTTCTTGACACAAAATAGAAATATTTTTTGATATATATTTTTTTAATTTTGACCGATGGGTTTTTTAATGATTTTATTTCTTATTTTTTCCTTATTTAAAACGTCATTTTATTAATTAACCAAAAAAGAAGGTTTAATTCTGCACATTATTAAAAGAATTTCATTTTTTGACACAAAATAGAAAGTTTCTCATTTTTGTTCAAAGAAGCTTATCTTTTTTTGTCCTATAAAAAACAATAAAAATTAACTGTACTAGCTTATTTTACTAAAATATTGCTTATCTTTTCTTAATTCTATAAAATTAAAAAATACATCTAGTAATTTAAAAAATTTTCTACATAAAGTTAAATAAAAATTTTATTAAATTAATGGTCTTTAAAGAGTCGTGTCCCTTTCAAAAAATGCTCAATTAGAGATCACTAGAGCAGCTGGGTATCTTGATAACTGAATTGTAATAACGCGGAGACCTCTTTCCGTGCCGGGGAGACTTCTCTCTCTTACCATTAATACTAAACAAGGTTTAAGAATATTACTGATGCATAACTAGATACTATAGATCAGAGAACGCGCCGACAGAAAATCAAATTCCCGATTTTCGGGAATCGGGAATTCACGAGCCAAAAATCGTCGGGAATTCACGATTTTCGGGAATTTTGCTTTTCTTGGGTGCTGCTATAGATGTAATAGGATATATCTGAAACCCAGGTTCTTCTATTCTGAGGACACAGATTTAATTCATCATTAATTATTAGGGCCTCACAAATTATGCGCGGAGAATTTTAAAATATCCGCATATACATACTATGTGTATTCACCGAAAAAGTTTTGCAAAATATGTCAGAATTTCTCAAAATATGCAAAAATTTGATCAAATTTTATCAAAAAACATTAAATTTGAAGCAATAAAAATCTTAAATAAATTTTGACTCTCAGAAGTACTTGAGCTATTAATTTATGGTAATTAACAAAAATAAGATAAGAATGTGAATTGGATAGAAATGGCGGGAGACCTTTATTATTTGAAGGTCAATTTTATAGTTAATTTTGAGATGCAAATTGTTTAATTAATTAAATAGACTAATTTTTTAAATAATTAAAGGCATTCTTAAAATGTTAAAATTTTTATTTCCCCCAAATGGACGTCTTTTACAAACTTGTATATTTAGCTGTATTATTTCCTTCTTAAATTTATTTTTTCAATATTATGTGGCCTATTATCCTAATACGGCTGCTGGAAATATTCAAAAATATATTAACGATTCTTATCTTGCACGGGGACAAAAAATTTCAGAAAATTATTTATTGTGGTTTTGGAATTCAATTTTGAATTTGCCCTTTCTTGGGCTTTTATTGGGTAATGTATTAGCTCCTTATCTTTGTGAAAGGGCTGGAAGAAGAGGTGGGAGATTTTTTTAAATTTATTGTCTGAAAATCATTAAAATCTCTCTCATTTCACTTTCATTTACTTAGTTCACCTTTCTCTCACAATATTAACAGTGATATCTGTTATGATACAAGATGTCCCTTTCACTATATCCAATGTTCCCTTCAGACCACTATGTACTAAAGACAGGACTGAGAGTCTCCTACGGGAGCCGTACGCAATCTTGATAAACAGAATTTTCTTACGTGGCTCTCAAATATGTCCAAACCTCCTTTTGTACTATCCAATGCCCCTTCCACTTTAGAGGACTCTAAGACCCTTCAGAGTACTGTATCAGCTTATGATGTCGATTGAGAGAGACTATGATGTAGTTCGTTCCTCTACTATTCACCCCCTTTCATATTACCACCAATGTCCCTTTTACACTACTCCAACCCTCCCTATTTCGTTCCTATCCTGACTGATCATCCCTGTATTTATCTTTAATCTAATCTCTATCAATTCCTTCAACAATTATAATTAAATAATTTTAATTAAAATAGCTACTTTGCTCTACACAAATTTTGCTTTGATCATCTCTACTTTTGTAACAATTCTCTCAGTTATATATCTAATACCAGAATTATTTTTAATAAGTCGAGTATTTGGGTCAATTGTGACAAATATTAATTTTTGTGCTTTTACTGTTTTTGTAACGGTTTCTAGATGGTTTAATTTTTTTAAAAAATATTTTATTAAAAAAGGAATTTCCTGCTACAAAATTTAGAGGTTTAGCAGTGTTTTTAGGTGGATTTAATGCAAATATTGTCCAAAATGTAGGAATGCTTTTGGGGTGGTTTTTAGGAAAGAATTTGGTTTATCTAACAGGCAAGAAAGTAATTAAAGTCAAAAATAATTTCTTTTAATTTTAAAGGAATAGCTTTATTACCTACATTTTTGACTATTTTATTGCTTATTCCTATTAAAGAAACGCCAAAATTTCTTTATCTTAAAAGGCAAGATAAAAAGGCAACGTTAGAATCATTAAAATTTTATCAAGGTGTGAAATATCTTTATTTTTACTTTTAATGACAAAAAAACGAGGGGATTTGTTAAATAAGGTTTTCGGATTGTTGGAAATCCTTGGATATTCGGATCCGATATCCGAACCGAAAATTTCCGATATCCTGCCTTTTCGGATCCGGATATCCGGATCCGACAACATTATTTCTAAACAATGCGGTACATTACAATAGGTGTACCACAGTGTCGTGCGCGCCCAATTGTGGTGCTCCGTAAACACTGATATACTTAAATACAGTAGTAGGCATAACTAATTCTATATAGGCCTCATATTTTGCTTGAAACTAGCTTTTAATGTTACTACTGGGCTACTTAGTTATCCGATAGATGAACCAAAAAATTATCCAATGCTTCCTGCTTTAAGACAGGAGAACAAAACGGTGATTCTTTTACTATCCAAGATATAGAAACACTAAAATAATGCCTTGTTATTAAATTTAATCAAAAATAATTAAAAAGGTGATAAGTTTGACCATGAAGAATTTCTTCACGATTTGGAGAAAGAACGTCAAAATGACGAGAAAAACGAAGACAAGAGTTCAATTTTTCAACTTTTGAAGGAAATTTTTACTCAAAAACATTTATTTCTTGCATCGGTATTGAGTGCTGCTTCTCTCCAATTAACTATTGGACCTTGGCCCGTGGCAACAACTTTATTGTCCTTCCATTTTGATATTGAACAAGCACAATTTTTTGCTACCTTATGTACTTTTAGTTCTTTAATAGCGAGTTTTCCTGGCACTTTTATGTCGGAACGGTACGTACCGAGCATTTGATAATTGATGAGGGGCAGGAGCTCACTTAAATTTCTTCACGTTCCCCTTAAAAGTATCCCTCAGATCAGCCATGTGTATTCTTAAGAAGCTGTGGGAGGGGGAATAAATCTTACTTTAACATAGTTATCATAGATTATGTACTAGATTTGAGCGGGATCCGGATCCCAACATAAAATTGGGTCAGGATTTTGGAACAATGATCCATGTCCCGACTCGAGACTTCCGAGTCGGGATCTGGATTCAAAGAAACCGGGTTAATCCCGTTTGATTCGGACCGGGATCCCGATCTCGATCACCCTTTATGTGCATATCTTTTCAAAAGACTTTTATTTTTAGTGTAAGCCGTCGTTTATTACTTCTCTTGGCTGGACTTACAACTACTTTAAGCCTCAGTTCATATTTAATTTTTGACCGGCTAACTTTACTTAATGGAATATTCCGTTATGGATGTGCATTTTCTTTTATTGTTTATTTTTGCTGTTTTGGGTATTCAGTATTTCACAAAATTTCTAAAAAACTCAAAATTCCTCATTTCAGAATAGCTTTGGGCACAATTCCCTTTTACATTGCAGGGGAATTATTTCCCCAAAATTTTCGTTCAACAGGCCAAGCAATTGTCCAGTCCTCTCTTTGTTTGTTTGGTTTTGTTTTTAATACTTTAATTTTGCCCTTGTATGCGGCTATTGGAGTTTGGTGTTTTCTTCCTTTATTTATCATTCCACAGATTTTTTGCTTAACAATTCTTTGGATATTTCTTCCGGAAACGAGGTGAAGGATTAAAAAATTAATGTTCGAACTTCGAACCAGGCACAATAACAAGGGTTTAAAGAGACTCAGTATTTTTTGTGACTAATCAGGCCTTGAAACAGAGTGGCCCTTTTGCCTCATTTGGGAGGCATTTGCCTTTTCGCCCCCTTTTTGGGAAGCCATTCCTCCTTTTGGTGATTTGGAAAGGGCCACCCTTCCTTGAGAACCGAACTGGTCATAATGATAAAAACTCTTTGACCTTTATAACAAATTATTTTTAGAGGAAGAGAAGTACACGAAATTGTGGAAGATTTAAAGAAATCGACCTGGAAAAGGAACAGAGTGATAAACATAAATTAATTTATTCAATTGTTGAAATTTCTAAACAAATTTTTTATTAAAAATTATTATTTTTTTATTTTTTAATATGAAAAATAATCCTTTAAGAAGCAATCTAATCCTTTGTTTGGGTAAACATGCTTAATCAGCAAGCATTTTTTCTTATTCGCGCGGTACAAAAGATGATACTAACAAAGGAGAGTGCCTGAGGTGTCCGTAGGACTTCGGGATGAAATTTGGTAGACAGATAGATCATACCCTACTTTAGTTATGCAAATTTCAGAACAAGTAGGTTATAATCTATCTGTCTACCAAATTTCATCCCGAAGTCCCACGGACACCTCAGGCACTCTCTTTTGTAAGTGGCTTTAATTATAAAGCGATTAGAATGATAATTAGCAAAAATTATTTAATTATTCGGACAAATTCAAGAGTCCATACCTACTTTAAAAATTTACAGCTATGTCTAATAAAAATAATAAATAATCTGAATAAAAAGTAACCGGATCCTTAAAAATTTTTTTATCTTTCTTTGTGCACAATTCAACGTAATAAATAAACAATATTTTTATTACTTAAAATTCATCATTTTTTATTAAATCAAACGTCATTTTTTATTTAATTTTTATATATAAAAATAAAGTAACGACACTTTAAAATTATCTTTTAAATATTAAAATATAGTAGAATATTCTAATATATTTTTTATTTGCTCATTTTTCAAAATTAAATATTTTGTCACTTTATTATAGAGGTATTTAGTTACCTCCAAGACTGCCTCGATATTGAAACCAGGGCTTTAATTAATACTTTTATTGTCTTGGTCTTGGGGTTTTGTCTTGATCACGGGTGGAAGCCCATTAAAAAGTTCCACGGCCGAAGGCTGCAGACCGAAATTTTAATCTTAAAATCCGCAGCCGCAGTCCGCAAGTCAAGAACCACGCAATTTACGCAGTCCTCAATCCAAAATTTCATCCACACCTTGTCTTGATTCTTGGGTTCCATTCACTCCATTTACCTCAATATTTATGATTTTTTAATAAATTAATTAGTTACATTCACTCTTCAATATTTTTTAATAAATTAATTTTCTAATAAAGGCATTTTTAGATGTTAAAATTTCTATTTCCCCCAAATGGACGTCTTTTACAAACTTGCATATTTAGCTGTATTATTTCATTTTTTAATCTGTTTTTTCTATGGTATTCGGGTTATTATCCAAATACGGCTGCTGTAAATATTAAAAAATATATTAATGATTCTTATCTTGCACGTGGACAAAAAATTTCAGAAAATTATTTATTGTGGTTTTGGAATTCTATTTTGAATTTGCCGTTTATTGGGTTTATATTGAGTAATTTATCAGCTCCTTATTTTTGTGAAAGGGCTGGAAGAAGAGGTTGGAGATTTTTTTATTATGGATGAATTTACTTAAATGCCTTTCACTGCCCATTATTCCAATTCATTTGATGGGAAATTGAATAGGACAATCCTAGAATGTATCCAAACCGATGCACCTACTTTGCCACCATCCGACACAATGATGTGCTACATATTTTTATTACTTTGTATTTTTGCAAGTGCGGAAACATAACCATCAGAAAGTGCTGGGTATTGGGCATTTGTTGGCTCTGTCTCCGAATTTTTTCAAACTTTGGCTCCGACTCCGTAGTTAGCTCCCGGAACCATCATTCTACCAAGTATCCTTCTCAGAACGAAATATCCTTCCCATTCCGCCCCCCCCCCTCACTTAGCTAATTCCTATCTCAACTCCTTCAAGTTTATTAATTATAATTAAATAATCTCATTTAAAATAGCTACTTTGCTCTACACAAATTTTGGCTTAATCATCTCTACTTTAGTAACAATTATCTCCGTTATATTTAAAATACCAGAATTATTTTTAATAAGTCGAGTGTTTGGTGCAGCTATGTCCAGTTTAAATTTCAGTGCTTTTACTCTCTTTGCAACGGTTTCAAAATTATTAATTCTCAAAAAAATATTTTATTAAACCAGGAATATCCAGCCACAAAATATAGAGGTTTAGTGGTATTCATAGGAGGATTTAATGCAAATCTTGTTCAAAATATTGGAATGCTTTTGGGGTGGTTTTTAGGAAAGAATTTGGTTTATTTAACAGGCAAAAAAATAATTAATGTTAAGAAATAATTTCTTTTAATTTGAAGGAATAGCTTTATTACCTATATTTTTGGCCACTCTTTTAATAATTACTACAAAAGAAACCCCAAAATTTCTTTATCTTAAAAGACAGGACAAAAAAGCAACGTTAGAGGCATTAAAGTTTTATCAAGGTGTGAAATATTTTTATTTTAATTTTGAAATAAGACTGGAAGTATTAGGCATTTGCTAGTTCATGTAGAAAATTAGACATGACTAATCCGAACCAAGTCCCTATAATAATGGTAAAACTATTCTGGAGTAAATGTAGTAAACCTTAACTCTTACAGTTACTAAATACTGGGGGCATCGAGTTCTATTAGGCCCCATAGAAGAAACAATATCCTTGAAGCAGGGGACCTACAGAATCAGAAGAAGTTGGATATTACTTGTCTCCTTTATTTATAACCCTAAAATAATGCCATACTTAAAGTTAATCAAAAATAATTAAAAAGGTGACAAATTTGACCATGAAGAATTCCTTCACGAATTGGAGAAAGAACGTCAAAATGACGAGAAAAGCGAAGATAAAGTTTCAATTTTTCAACTTTTGAAGGAAATTTTAACTCAAAAGCATTTACTTCTTGCATCTATATTGAGTGCTGCTTCTCTCCAGTTAACTATTGGACCTTGGCCTGTGGCAACAACTTTATTGTCCTACCATTTTGATATTGGACAAGCACAATTTTTTGCTACTTTATGTACTTTCAGTTCTTTAATTGCGAATATTCCGGGCACTCTTATGTCGGAACGGTAGGTTGATTATAAGGGAAGAGGGTGAAACTGGGCATTATTTTGCCCCATCATTCATAAGTATATTGTGGCTTTTGAGAGATTAAGAGGGATAATGGGGAATTTACAAGGCTAAAAGAATATCAATAGATTTAAGAATAACTGAGAACTTGGAAATATATTGGGGATAGTAGTTAAAGGATATCGTTGGATTCTGGGATAATTTATGTCTTTAAAAATCCAAAAATTTATTTTAGTGTAAGCCGGCGGTTATTACTTATCTTTGCTGGACTCGCAAATACTTTAAGCCTTATTTCATATTTAATTTTTGACCGGCTAACCTTACTTAATGGAATATTTCGTTATGGATGTGCATTTTCGTATATTGTTTATTTCTGCTGCTTTGGGTAATTTCTTAAAAATTTAGGCACTAGTTTTGTTTATGATTCCAATAAAGACTGTATTTTGTGTCTATTGTTTCGAATTATCCAGTTTATGCACCCCATGAGCTTGATGAAGACACAACTTTCTGATTGATAATGGGAACGAATATTGAAGCTGATAGAAGCTGATAGAACAGCATTAGCATTGCTGCTATAATAGCTAATTTAAAGATCCTGCGAATTAATAATGTCAAGGAATTGAAGTAAAATAGAGAGCCCTCTCTCAGAAAGAGGGATCCCCAATACCCTCTGTCAGAAACCCATAAATGTTCATTGGACTCATAAACTAGACCAGTACCAAAAATTTTAACTTCCCATTTTCAGAATAGCTTTAGGCACCATTCCTTTCTACATTGTGGGGGAATTATTCCCCCAGAATTTTCGTTCTACAGGCCAATCAGCTGTTAACCTTTTCTTTTTCTTATCTGCTTTTATTATCAATACTTTAATTTTGCCCTTGTATGCGTCTATTGGAGTTTGGTGTTTTCTTCCTTTATTTATCATTCCACAGAGTTTTTGTTTAACTATTCTTTGGATATTTCTTCCAGAAACAAGGTAAAAGTGTTAAAGAATTAAAATGCCTATTGTTGCATACCTTTCGAGTTACTTGAACCTAAAAGCCTTTCAATTTTTCTATTAAGAATAAAGATTTTAATTAAAAAATTTTCAAAAACCGGCACTTTGACATGAAAGGAAAAGCACTCTCTAGCATCAGGAACCCACAGATCCTGGTATTTAAAAAACAAAATTTAGCATTAAAACAAAGGTTGGCGAATGACGGATATCCGGTTCAGAAAAAAGGCAGGATATCCGGAAATTTTCGGTTCGGATATTGGATCCGGATATCAAAAAATTTCCAACTATCCACCAAACTTAATTAAATCCCAACCATGGTTATGCAAGAATAAGATCTCTCGATAGGGGCTCGGGACATTTCGAATGTCGAGTTCTAAAAATAATTAAATTTGCCCTTTATAAATAATTAATTTTTAGAGGAAGGGAAGTACACGAAATTGTGGAAGATTTAAAGAAATCAAGTTTTTGGTGTGACAAATAAATAATTAATTTAATTTAAAATGTTTATATTTTTAGATAATTTTTGTTATAACTTTTTTCTTATTTTTCGTAATCTGAAAAACTTCTTTAAGAAGCTTTTCTAATCCTTATAGTGGGTAAACATGTTTAATCAACAAACATTTTTTTCTTCTTCGCGCGCTATCAAAATAAAATAATAATATTAATTTAGCATTAATTAACAATTGATTAGAGCATTAATTAACACAAATTATTTAATTGTTATCCTTCAGGCGAATTTATGTTTCCATGACTATTTTTAAAAATTTACGGATATTTTCGAAAGGATACCTAAATACTGCCCATTGAGCTCGAGAGCTTTCTTTTAAAAAAATTTTTTTGAGGCTGAATGTCAAATCCTTATTTAACAGAAACTTTTATTTAGGACTGTTAAAACGAAGATTTTTTATTTTCTGTTATGATTTGAACTAAATTTCTCAATAAAAATTAACCGGATCCTTGAAATTTTATCATTTTTTGTGACAATTACAAAGTACTATTAAGTAAAAAAATTTTTATTAACTCATTAAGCACCATTTTTTTCAGTTGATTTTTATTTTGATTTTATAAAAAAAAATTTTTTAATAGTTAAACTATCCTACTGTATTATAATAAAAGTCTAAATATCCCCAAAAAATTATTTCCAATATAAAAATCAACTTTAATATAACACGTTTATTGTGTCGTTCATGGGTTTTAAAAAGTTTCGCTTATTAATAAAAAAAATATTCTTATCTTTTATTAACACTTTATAAAAAGTAATAAATTTTTCATAGCTAATTAAAAAAAGCAAATTAAGAATTTAATTATAAGATAAATATCATTTTTGGTTCGATTAATTTTAAAATATATTTAAACTCATAGTACATTCAAACTTTTGTTCTCTGATTTTTCAAAATTTTTATTTTTTCTCGTTTTATTATAAAAGTAAATTGCATTGGCTATCGTTCATGGTTTTTGAAAGGTTTCGGGGTTGGACATAAATTTCTGTCTTACTCGATTTGGAAATTTGTGAACCAAGTCCGGTCTCTAGAGTCAATCAAAAAAACTTTTTTTAAATGGATGACGATATCGGGAGATTTCAAGGGATTAAAGGACATAATTTAGAGTGATTGAGAGGTGTAGGTGGATATCAGGGATTTAGATATCTGGGCATTTGGTCTTCCAAAACTTGGTCGTTCGCACTTTCGAATGGAAAGATTATTGGGTTGGTTAGTGTAGGTTCAGTTTGGAGTAACCGAAGAATTTGGCAAAACCGCCAACCCAACTCTATCATAGAACTATTTCATTATTGAACCTCTTTTATTAAAATAAAATAATACTTTTTTCCATCCCCCCCCCCCTCCACAATTTTTAAATTTTCTAATAAAATTAAAGGCAAGTAGTTACCCTCCCGTAACCGTATCAAAGGAAAATGCCGCCAACCTATTGAAGGGTCTGGTTGGGGGAGGGGTCCGCCCCCATAAACGTCAGCCTATTGAATGTTTTGGCGCGCGATGGGGGAGGGGGTAAGGGGAAATCCAATCCTAATGGGGTGTTTTGAATTAATTAGGGGGAGGGGGCAAGGGAAAACAATTTGTTTTACTAATTGGTCGGGGTTGGGTGTAAGGGGATTTCAAGGTGTTAATTAGTTGACTAATTGACTGGGGAGGGGGTAAGGGGGAAGATTAAAAATTAAATGGTTTACAAATTGGTCTAAGGGAGGGGGTAAGGGGGAACTTTTATTATCAAGAGATGCTAATTGTTTAACTAATTGGTTCGGGCAGGGGGTATTTGGAAACAATTTGTAAAATAAATTGGTTCGAGGGAGGGGTAAGGGAAAATTTTAAGGTGTTAATGAGTGAGTGCGCGAAAATTTGGTGGACGATGGACAAATGGTGGATGCTCTACAAAACCCAAAATGCTCTCTTTAGAGCAGCAAATCTAATAAGTGAAACGAGACAATTACTAATTTTTTCTTGTATAAACTTTTGTATTTTTCTTTTAATTTCTTTTATTATTAATAATTCACACTAGGCGGGCTAACCCAGAAGATCACCTACTGAATTTTTAATATTATAGAGGTGATCTTCTGGGTTGTCTTTTTGGTAGCTTTTTCTTTTCTAAACATTTAATAGAGCTGTATAGAGAACAAAAGGAAGTTGCGTAAAAATAAATTTTGGATAAAAATAAAGTGAAAAGGGACTTGGAAACATATGTTTTTGTGAAAAACTGTGATTATGACAGTTATATTCATTATAATTAAAAATAATTTGTCACATTTTCACCCAATAAAAATTTTCTGATTTGTTCTGATTTTTTAGGTTTTAAATAAATAAATAAATAAATAATGATTTGGGTTGAAACGAATTGTACATGCCCGGGAAATCTCAAATGCTTGAGGCCTGGTATTTATTCCAAGCCTACGTTTTGCCTGCCAGAAAGTGTTCCAGCGGAACAATTTGAAAAATATGTTTCCAATCCGCTACAATTTCTGCAGCAAAATTGTTCAAACGCAACTATTCTCTATACACTTCTATTCTTTATTTTGGTTTCACTGATTTTCCAAGTAAATTTTTCTCTACACTTAACTAAGGAGGGGATTGTTACACTTTCTAAAAGATTTACCCCATGATTTAGCTAATAGCCTCTGTTAATTAGGTGTTATACAGGGACTACACAGGGACTACACTACTTATACAGGGACTACACTACACTAAATTTCTAATTAATTATATAATATTTAGTTGGCATCATTTGCCTTTATGGTTTTGAAAAAACGTAGTCGTCCTATGACTACGCGTCAATTTGCTGCTGGGCCTCATCATATTTTGACGCCTACTGTACAACCAACACCTTTGGTTGTCGACTGCCGAGTAATTATTTTTAATAAATTAATTAGTTAATGAATAAGTATAATAAACCAAAGCTGGGCTATATTTTTCCCTCAGCTGTGCAAAAGGGGTTTCGACGGTTGGGAGTGAACCAGCATCTTTAGGAATTAAATAACTATCTGATTTATATTATTTAATAAATTTTAAAAACAGTTAAAATAATAAAAATATTTTTCACATTTCAGAAGAAACGTACTCCGGGAACGGAGATGAAACTTTTCTCGTCTTCCCGAAAGGAGGCTACTCTTGAGAAAATGAGCAAATTAGTTGCCAAGGAGGCACATCATTCATCATTATAGATGAAAATGAAGAAAATGAAAAAGAAAATTTATAGATTTAAAATAAAATTAAAAAATAAAAGTAATTAAAAAATTAATTTGTATTCGACATTTAAAGTAAAGTAAATATTATGAAATATGTAGTTTAAATTTTTCTTGCAAAAATTAGATAGGAAGTAGAATGAATTATAATCTAGATTAGTAAATTTTTGTGTTTTATAGAGACAATAGTAGTTAGATAGGTAAGAGAGAGTGAGAGAGGGAGAGAGGGGGGGGAGAGAGAGAGGTAAAAGAGAAAGAGAGGTAAAAGAGAGAGAGGTAAAGAGAGAAAGGGAGAGAGAGGGAGAGAGGTAAAGAGAGAAAGGGAGAGAGAGGTAAAGAGAGAGGGAGAGATAGGTAAAGAGAGAGGGAGAGAGAGGTAAAGAGAGAGGGAGAGAGAGGTAAAGAGAGAGGGAGAGAGAGGTAAAGAGAGAGGGAGAGAGAGGTAAAGAGAGAAAGAGAGAGGGAGAGAGAGGGGAGAGAGAAAGAGAGACCAGATGCAACCAGATGCAAAGGACCGCATCTGTTTATCTTTTTGGGGTCCGATTTTATTAAGCAAAATGTCCAATTTTTATTTAACAAAATTTATTTTTTTAACTCAACATTTAAAGTTACAATGAAAGTTTTCAAACATTTAAAGTTATCAAACGTTTTTTCTTAACTTAATGTCAGTTTTTCCTCTTCATTCTGCTTTTCTTTTGGTACCAATCTTTTTGTATGGTGCCAAAACATCAGTAGCAATGCTATTAGCTTTGACACAGTTATTGCATAATCCTATCTTCACAGTAACACAATCAGGATTCTCTTCAAATTTATCTTTCGAATAAAATAATTTGTTTTGACAGTCTAAAAATTTAATTTTTGAATAAAATATTAAATTTTATTACCTTGACACAAGTAGAATGTAATTAAGAATTTTCCGCGTATTAGCTTCCAAAGTTGTTGTTTTTTAACAACTTGTTCTTCAACAATTTTTATTAAATTTAGATCCACGGGAGGATTAGTAATAGTTTGCTCTTAAAAAATTTGTATGAAAATAATTATTTTATTATGAAACCTAAAGAGCTTTTAGAAGTTGATTCCTTCTTTTCTAATTTCACAGGTTTTTTAAAGGAAATTTCCTTGTTTTGCTCACAATCTCCATCTTTTAAATAGAAACTTAAATAAATTTTTAAAGGAAAAGTTACCAATCTTCTCAGATGATGAGTTATTTTGTTGCATATTTTTAATGTTAAAATATTAAATATTTAATTGCGGAAAAATTTGTTGTAAATTATATAGAATGATCTTAAGAAATAAGGATTATGGATTTTTTTAGTAAAAAATGGGCGTGGCTTAATATCGATTTTTTAAAAATGGCTTGGCTTCGTTTTTTCAAAGTTGGTGCCTGATTCAATACTGTAGGGTTAGATAGTATAGACACCTACGGGAGCGAGAGAAGGGTATATAAACTCAAAATTTTGAACAAAGTAAATTAATTTTAGAAAAATTTTAATAAAATGGCCCTCAACATGAATGACAAGAAATCATTATTAACCCAGATTATCCCTGAAGTCGACTTCAACATAACTACTAATGGGATAACCATTACTAGTGAACGAATCACCACCCCGCGTTTCATTCCTTTTGAACACGGGGGTCGGTGCCGGGAATGTAAAAGCACAGAAGTAGAATTGGACTTCATTGTTACAAAGGAGGGAGTGACAATTTATTGTACTCGCCTGTCATCTCCTCGTTTAGTGCCATTTGATTGCATTTATGACCTCCCGGGTCATTGTTTCTTTAAGGTCATTTTCCTAAAATAATTTCGGATGAAATATAAAATTTAGATCAAAAACAAAGGCCGCGTCTTGAATATACCATATGGTTCACAAGATGTCCGCTCGGTTGTGAATACGAATTCTCGTAAACGTGAAGCTACTACTCAGCTTTCGCCTCTAAAATCTCCTCCCCATGAGCCTCTCCAAGAGGTAGTAGATCCACCATTGATTGAAGATGTTCAAAATATTGAACAAACTCCAACTATTGAAACCGAACCATCTGTTAATGATTTAAATGTTATGGGACAACCCAATGCGGACGATGCCGTCATTATGGAATTTTTCGATTCTATGCAAGCTGTCACTATGGGCATATCTTCAGAGATAGAGGTTAAGAATGAAGTAATAGCTAAGATCGAAGACACTAATTTACAACCACCTATTTAAATTCGCAAAGTATTTAAGTTAATTAATTTTTAAGTTCATTAATTTTCCTATCATTTAATATGGAAGCGTTAACTTTTTCAAATAAAGATTTAAAACTTAAACTGCCTTTTGGTATGATTGTCTCAGGTCCTAGTTCTAGTGGCAAGAGTACTTTCTTGCTCAAATTTATCTCAGAGGTAGATGAGTTAATTGAACCCAAACCAAAGAGTATACTTTATTGCTTTGGTGAAATGAGTAGTATTGTACCAATACTTCAAAAATCTGGTGTTAATGTGTTTGTCGGAGCCCCACCTGAAGACTTAATAAAAACACTACCCAAGCCACTTCTTTTAATTTTGGATGACCTTCTTTTGTCAATAGATGAAAAATATCTATCTGAACTTTTTACAAAAAAGTCACACCATCAAAATTTTTCTGTTATATTTGTTACACAAAATTTATTCGACCGAAAAATTAAAGTCGCTCGTCAAAATGCCCAGTATATTGTACTGATGCGGTCACCTAATTCTGCTCTCGCAGTAAGAAATATAGGAGTCCAACTCTTCCCTAGAAGGCTAGATTATTTCCTGGATGCATACAATCAATCAACAAACCAACCTTATGGATATTTATTGATTGACATGCATGCCTCTTCTGACCCAACTTTAAGGCTTAGGTCAGGAATATTTAAGGAGGACGAAAAAATTATTTTTACTCCAAAAAGTGGCATTTAAAATGGTCGGTCATTTAATTAGTGAAAATTCAAATTTTCTAAATACTCTGTGTTATACAAAATCTCAAAGAAAAATTCGTCGTCTTTTACGACTTGCTAGTAATAATCAACTTTTAACACTAGTAGAAATTTGTCTTAATATTGTTAAATCGAGGTTTCAGTTGACAACTCGTCAAAAGAAACGTTTAATGCCTTATGCCTGTTTTGTTCGAAAAGTAAGTAGGGTTCGAAGCGAAAGGGGAGCAAGGCATGCTTTGCAGAAGGGAAATGGTGTTGGTGCGTTTGCCGCTCTCCTTACACCCATACTCATTGAACTGGCGCGCTCTATAAAAAGCGGGAATTAATTTAATCAATCACTTAATTATTTAATTATGGCTAATAAATTTATTCTCGTTCCTCAAGAAATTTATCGGGGTCTCACTACATTCGATACCGGTGAACCAAATCTTGATGATGTGAGGCGTACACTTGATAGAACTCAGAAAGGAAAAGAACACCCAAGTGCTAAAAACATTCGTTATAATCAGGAATTACGGCGTTACTTACACTTACGTAATGAAAGTCAAAATCGACCAGTTAGAGTTGAAATGGTCGCTTCACCCAAAGGGGCTATTATGAGTAATGAACAAACGCGTCCTTCAACAGCCGAGGATGATGATGAAATGTGGATGAGTGATGATGTCTCATTCTCAGCTTACCCTAGAGAACCTCCAAATAGAGCCTATAATTTTGTACCACCTCTCTCTGAATCCTCGTACCACCCGTCTTTACCTTCCCTAGCTAAAAATATAAACGTTCTAAAAGAAACGCCACCGACTCCACGGCAACTTGTAAAAAGGAAAGAGAAAACAAATGGAAATGGTACAAAAAGGATGAAGACCGTTAAAAAAATCAAAAAGTCTAAAATTCCTGTTAAAAAGAAACAAAAGAAAAGAGTGACGGCAAACCAATCTTTACCCTCAACTTCAATAGTTGAGTCAATTAATAAAACAGATCCCATTATCGAATCACAAAATGCCCCATTAATGGATTCTAATCCTGTAGCATTAAAAAGAGACCAAGATTCCGATAATATTGAAGCGTCCAAGAGAAGTAAGAATACATACGAAAATAAGGAAGTTAGTTTAAGCCAACAAATTGCAAAAACTCAAAAGAAGAAAGAGTTATTAAGGAGAAGAAAATCATCCCAAAATGTCAAAGTCCCCCTTGATCATAGTGTAATGCAACAAATACGTCGAGATGAGGAGACAGAAGTTTTAGATAGAGCTAAAAGATCTCGTCGTCGTCAAGGAATATTGAGAGAAGGTAGATCCCCTTCTCCTTCAATACCACGTGAGCGCTCAAAAAGAAAATCTGAAATTCCTGAAGGGACCAAGTTGTTACATTATAAAAGGATAAAAAGACCTGTTTCGAAGAAAAAATCAGAACGTTTATCAAAGGCATGGGTGGAAAAATTAAATATAATAAAAGGGCGTGCGAGTGGAAAATACAAATGGGCAACGAAGAAGCCGACCCAAGAAGATATAAGTTCTCGACATATCGGTGTAAAAGGGCGATTAATTGGAAAGAAATGGGCTGTAAAGAAGCCTTCTCAACAGGATATAAATAGATTTAAACCATCTTTATGGTGAAAAATGGCAGATTATACAAAACTTTTGCAACATCTGTATAATGACCCCGAATCCCCTGCAGCCTTTTCAGGAGTTGATAGATTATGGCACGAAGCCCGCAAAGTTCTTAAAAATTTACCTAGAAGCGTTGTACAAGATTTTCTTGAGGGACATCGGACTTATACTCTTATGCGTCCTAAGAGAATTCATTTTTCTCGCAGTAAAACTGTAGCCTCGGGATTTATGACAGATGTTCAAGTAGACTTGGCTGATTTCCAAACACTTTCTAGGCATAATAAAGGAAATAGATATTTACTTTTGGGAATTGATGTTCTATCTAAGCGTGTTTTTGGAGTAGCTGTAAAATCAAAGAAAGCCGAAGATATTTTAGAGGCATTTAAACAATTAATCGAGCAGATGCCTATGAAACCACATAGAATATTCTCTGATAGAGGCCTAGAATTTAAAAATAGACAAATAAAGGAATATTTTGAGAAAGAAGAAATTGAAAAGTTTGAAGCTACCCATTCAACAGTCAAAGCTTCGCTTGCGGAGCGTTCAATTAGAAATGTTAAGCAACGATTATATAGATATTTTGCTCATTATAAAACACTTAATTGGATAGAAATTTTACCCAAAATTTTGGACGGGATTAATAAGGCAAGGAGTCGGGTTCACGGAATGCGTCCTATGGACGTAAACTTTGCGAATGCACAAGAGGTATGGAAGAGAATTTACGGAGACGTATTGTCTACTAAAATTAAAAAATCCAAGCCAAAATTTAACAAAGGAGATTCTGTTCGTATGAGTATAAATAAAGGAACGTTTGAGAAGGGATATATTCCAAACTGGGGTGACGTAATAGCAGAAGTTGACAAAGTCAAAGATCAATCAAGACCCGTTCGTTACAAATTAGTAGATGACAAAGGAGATAAGTACAAGGGATCGTATTACAATGAGGAACTCACTAAAGTGAAAAAAGATGCGGGGACCGAGTACAGAATTGAGAAGGTATATCAAAAAAGAAAACGACCGGATGGTACATATGAACTACTTATAAAATATATAGGTTACCCCGAAAGAGAATGGATACATGAGAACCAGTTAGTATAAAAGTCATTTATTTTCACATTGTATAATTTTATTTGAGATAAAAATGTCAAACAGTTTTTACGTTTGTTTACTAAGTAACACAACTGATTATCCCGATAATCAGCCTAATAAGTTTCGTGTTCATCTCCCGAAACCAATTTATTTTTCTGGAGACTGGGTATGTGGTTTACATAGCATCTCATACCCATATTCATGGCCTTCAACGATTGGTACTCTTGACGAACAATGGATTGCTATACACTGTACAGATTTTAAAGGAATGGCTAAAATAATAAGAGTACCTGTACCAAGAGGTTCACACAATAAACCGGAAGATTTACTAAAATTTTTAACATCCACTTTACAACACCAAAGTGGATCGCTTGAAGAATCTCCTCAAAATAAAACTGATAGTTTTGTCGATAGGCCAACTCTAATTTCACCTCCAAGAGTTGGACGCCCAAAACGAAGTTTAGAGGAGACTCTACCATCGCCTCCAAGGATACAACCTTCTCCTCCGCGATGGGTTGATCCTGCAAAACCATCTTCACCTACTCCGCCAGTAAAGAAACCTGCGCCTCTACCTCAAGAAAATGAGAAATCTATAACTCCTTCTAAAGAAACAATACTTCCTTCGCCTCCTAGACTACAACAACCTTCTACAATACAACATCAAAAACCTGCTACTCCTCAGAAACCTACTTCTACTCAAAAACCTATTACACAATCACCTCCTCATACTACTCAAAAACCTACTCCACAACCACCTCCTCCTACTCAAGAACCTCCTACTACTACTACACAACCACCTCCTCCTATTACTCAAAAACCTCCTACTACTCAAAAACCTACTCCACAACCACCTCCTCCTACTCAAGAACCTCCTACTACTACTACACAACCACCTCCTCCTATTACTCAAAAACCTCCTACTCCTCAGAAACCTACTCAAAAACCTCCTACTCCACAACCACCTCCACCTACTACACAAAAACCCCCTATTACGCAACCACCGCCTCCTACTACTCAAAAACCTCCTACTCCACAACCACCTCCTCCTACTACTCAAAAACCTCCTACTCCACAACCACCTCCTCCTACTACACAAAAACCCCCTATTACGCAACCACCGCCTCCTACTACTCAAAAACCTCCTACTCCACAACCACCTCCTCCTACTACTCAAAAACCTCCTACTCCACAACCACCTCCTCCTACTACTCAAAAACCTCCTACTCCACAACCACCTCCGCCTACTACTCAAAAACCTCCTACTCCACAACCACCTCCGCCTACTACTCAAAAACCTCCTACTCCCCAGAAACCTACTTCTACTCAAAAACCTCCTATTACACAATCACCTCCTCCTACTACTCAAAAACCTCCTACTCCACAACCACCTCCACATATTACTCAAAAACCTATTACACCCCCACTTTCTACTCAAAAACCTACTACTACACAACCACCTCCTCCTACTCAAAAACCAAGTATACCTCCGTCTCAACAAAAACCTCCAACACCACAAAAACCAACACCAGGGCCTAAAACTAGTCAAAAACTTTATTCACCCCCTAAACTACCACAAAAACCACCATCTCCACCCCCTCAAATTTTGCCTACGCAACTTCCTCATCAAAAAACTACACCTCAAAAATTACTTCCTCCGCCAAAACCTACTACTACAACCCCTCAAAAAACTCCGGAATCACTACCCTCTCCTATACAAACTCTTCCTCCACTCCCTGAAGCTCTTCCATTAAAACAGAATCAATCAGTCATTCAACAAAAAATAAAATGGACTGATGATATGGAAAGAGTTCTTACCCACGTAATAGGAAAACCCCCTACTGATTTTCAAAGAGAAAGTTATTTACCAATGATTGAAGGGCTTTTAAAAAAATACAGTTATCTAAGAAAAGACAAAATAACTGCTACTGTCCAGAAACAAATCATAGATTCTATTTCTCTGTCCTTTCACAAAGATTTTAAACGTTTTAAAATGGAATATTCTCACCCAAATATTAAATATCTATCGTTTTCTCCTCAGCTTGGATATGTGCTGGGCTTTGAAAACTCGAATATGGTTATGAATAATGAGATTGCAAAATACGGGAGTGACTTGAGAGGAGGATTCTCAAGTTTTGCTGTATACACAAGAGGACTAACCGAGAATATGATAGTTGGAAATTCTCTAAGTTCTCTATTAAGAGTTGTTTCTGTCTCAGGAGCAACACCTGGAGAATATCATGAAAAAATCTATGACTCACCAATCTATATTCGTGTGCTTCCTAAGGAAATTAATGAGATTGAAATAGAATTAAGAACGATGGATGGAGGAAGACTTGTTCCATTTGCATTTGGAACAGTGATGATTGTTTTAATCTTTAAGAAAGTCATTAATTTTTAATGTTCACGTGACGTGTCTATATAAATACCCTCAAAATTGTAATTTTATTTAATTTTCGAAGTAAAATTTTCTAAAATGGTACATATTGTTTTTGATACAAGATCAGTAGGTTATGAAGAATTTATTCCCTCAATAATGAAAGGAGGTGGAATATCCGATGAATACAATTATTTCAAGGGTTCTTCACCTTTTCAAAGAGGTTACGGTAATTCTCAGAGAGGTGCAGGAATAGGAGATGTAATGAGGGGACTTTGGCGTTTTTTCCTTCCAATCATTAAACAAGCTGGCACTACAGTAGCTGGGGAAGCATTAAATACCGGACAGCGAGTGTTAGAGAGGGTTAATCAAGGAGAACCGCTTAAAGCAGCGCTCAAAGAAGAAGGAAGAAAAGGTATTGACACCGTATTGGAGAAAGGGGGATTACCAAAACAATTTGGGACTGGTCGTAAAAAGGGTATAAAAAGGAATGCAATGCCTGCACATCAAACATTTATTGGAAAAAAAGTTAAAAAAAGATTAAGATCGGACGCTTTTGGTCTCTATTAAAATGGCTTTTCACAAAATAGATAGTGACAGTATTAATTCTATTACAAGTGCTCTGGACTTTTTCCAAATTCCACCGACTAATGTTACAGTAACATCTTCTAAAGTATTTGAAATTCTCACCAGTAATCCTCTTACAGACACTCCCTACCACTTTAAAATCCATTCAAGTCAAAATTATATTGACTTGTCAAAATGTTACCTTTTTACTGAACTTAGAATAAGAAAAGAGAATGAGAACGGACAACTAATTAATCTTGCTGCAACAGACAATGTTGCACCTATTCAACTCATAGGGCAAACTTTCATAAATAATATGAAAGTTAGTGTAAATGGGCGCGAAATCTTCAATTCAAACTCCCTATACGCTTACAAAACCTACTTGTCGTATGAACTTTCGTATTCCCAAGGAGCAAAAAGTTCGCATCTCAACTCATCTGGATATTATTTTGACTCTGGTACAATGCTAGAAAGTGGTGAAGGATATGAGGCTAGGAAAAGATTATTTTCCAATAGTAAAACAACACAATTTATTTCTAAACTTGATGCTGATATTTTCAATCAGCCGCTTTATTTAATAAATCAATGTGAGGTAGATATAGAGATTTTACCAAATGACACAAAATTCGTTCTAATTGCCCCTCCTGTTCTGGGTCTTGCTCAATCTACACGTTACCATTTCGAAGTAGTTAATTGTAAACTTTATGTAAAAAAGATGGATCTCATGGATGGTTTAGCTTTGGACATTGCCCGAAAACTTGACATGAAACCCGCCCGTTATGCAATAAGAAAGACTATGATGAAACCTCTCTTTATTAGCCAAGGAAGATACGAATTTAATGCCAACCTCTTCATGGACCAGATTCCTCGAAGAATAACACTTGGTTTGGTAGCAAACACGGACTATGTTGGAAATTTAAGTCGTAGTCCTTTCAATTTCCAACACTTTAACGTACGGGAAATTACTATAATCGCGAACGGGCGAAGCTATCCTCAAGCTCCTTATGACTTTGATTATATGAATGGGAAATATGTTAGAGCATTTAACGACATGAATGAGGCTATTGGACTTTCAAATTCGTCAGAAAGCAATGGTATTACCTATCAGCAGTACGGTAGTACACATTGTATTTATGTTTTTGCTTTGACCAATAGTGGGGATGACCAAGGAGGATTATTTGATTTAATAAAGAACGGGACAACTGCCATTAATATTAAATTCAGTCAGCCTGTTCCCGATGGAGGAATTATGCTTGTAGCTATGGGTGAAGCGGATTCATTGATTATTCTAGATAAAAATCGCACTATTGCCAGTGACACTACTATATAAACTCATTTAAATTGTAATATTTTCAATAATATTTTAAAATGAATAAAATTTCAATTGTTATTTTTCTTATTCGAATTTTTTCTCCTCTTGTTGAGACTTTAAGTATTGATGATATTTCAAAAGTGGAAAATCTACCCGAATATTCAGAATATTTGGGTAAGCGAACGACTATAGCAACATCCTCACCTTTTCAAATGGATTTTCCAAACTTCCCTTCAATTCAACTCTGCAAAGAAAGTCCAGGAGAGAACAATATATATGGACATATATTTTGTTGGGGAATGATACTCTTATACATTTTGTTTATATTTAGTCTTATCATTTTTCAATTTCGTTCAATACTTTGGTTCAAAGTAGTATTACCGAGAAAAAAGACAATTGAAGGTAAATTGAATTAATTTTTAAAATTATGATTAAATTAAGCAACCGATGAACGGATACAAAATAACACAGATATTGAACTCGAATCAAAAGACAAGGCAAATTTTTCAGGGATGCTTCCCGTGTGATTTTATTCCGAGGAACGATTTCAAGAAATCCGTTTACATTGTCAATTTAGACCCAAGAGGAAAGAAAGGATCTCATTGGATAGCAATTTATATAAATTTTAATAAAATATACTATTTCGATAGTTTAGCTTTACCTACCAGCTATTGTATTTTTAAATCATTTCTTAAAAATTTTTCTTGCATTAAACGCAATGTTAAACCCTATCAATCCCCCTTAGCTAAAACTTGCGCCCATCATTGTATCTCTCTCACTTATTTTCTATCTCAAGGCCTATCTTTTGAAGAATATTTAAAATTATTAGATACAAAACAAAATCCAGATTTATTTGTAGTTAAAATAGTGAATAAACTTTTACAATGAATTGTTTTTAAATTACACAGGTGTTGTGGCAAAAAGTGCACAATCAGTGCAAAGCCAAAATGAATAAAAGAATAAGTTGTTAGTTATTGGTATTAATGTTTTTCTTTGTTTCTTCATAAGATTGAACTTCAGACATTCTTCACACCAGTGAAACCCCATGAAATAATGGTAAATAAAACTGCAACGTGCACCCTTATCAAACTTTTCCCCATTCTTCAGAGATGAATTTAGAGCTATAAGATATCCGTGTCGTAAGCAGGATTTGTATTGACAAAATCCCTTTAATTATATTATTAATTTAAATTAAAAATTTTTAGGCTACCTCTATTTCAAAATATTTGGTCCCTTCTTCTTGTGACATTTTTAGTTAATGAAAAAATCTATCTGAAAAAATTACGGTATTTATTTGAAAAAATATGGTATAAAAGAAAAAATAAAACACGCGAGGGATATGGAAAGGAAATTAATAAAAAGGGATATTAACTAATTAAATATGCATGCAGCGGCTTGAAAAAACAAAAGAAAAGAGACGTTGGTGGGTAGCTGGCAAAAAAGAAACTAAGATAAAGGAGAGTGACCTTGAGCGGTAAAAAGATGAATGAAAACCTTAGAATCGGGAAGAATGAAAAATTTTCAAATTTTTGGCACTTTATAAGTGCCGCGTAAACACCAGATGGTCTATTAAAAACTGGAAGGAACGCTAAATTCAAATATAAATTAGCGTCCTTTTTAAACCTTGTATTTTTCTAGTTTATCCTCATTTAAATATTTTTGATATTTTTTTTAAATAATTTCTTTGTTAGAATTATTAAAATATGGATGATCAACCGCCGAAAAAATATACTAGATTTACTATCGAGAATTTATTAGGACTTCAGTCCTTATTTTCTATTCTTCAATCTGGAAGTGGTATGAAGAAGAAACCCGAGGAGTATGTCGAACGCCTTGAGAACGACATTACCCACAATTCTAAATTCAATTTTGTTAAAGCTCACTCAAAGTTTTCAATAAAGGAATTGCCTGAGGACCCGGAAGAATTATTAAAAGGTAAATTTATTTTAATAAAGTAAATTGATTTATTTCAGGAATTTTTCAATTGTTAATTGATGAAGCTGTGGAGGAGAGTCGCAAACGCGGCTTTGAACCGGAGCAAATAGGATGTGTAGTTAGCAGCCCGTTATTAGATCATGATATATGGGTTCCAGTGAGGTTGGTTTAGATTTCTTAAAAATATTTTCAATAAAATTGTGATTTTTCAGAGATAGAAATGAAAATACGGTTGAGGCAATCCTCAACCGTTTTCTACTTGTGGCCCAGAGCTTTAGACAGAAGGATGTTACCCTCTGGGGACAACCATTTACTGTTACGATTACAACTGTCAACAAAAGTAAACTTCCGAAACAACGACAACTTCCTGGGGCCGGGCGAAATATTCCACCTGTTCGCCATCGAGTCAATGAACAATCATTGATTAAGGCCAGTTTACCAAGTTTATAAAAGAATTACGAGATTAAAAAATAAAATTTCTAACATAAATATATTAAGATTGATAAAATTAGAGTGGGAAAATTAAAGTGGGAATTATAAGTGTCGGGTAAAAACACAATGTTATACTAATTTATTTATTTTAGATTCTAAATCAAGACAGTTTCTGTCTTTTCTATGCCTTAACTGCAACATTGATTCATGGAATATCTAAATGGTCCAGAGTTAAGTTCTTTCGCTACCTTCGTAGTGAGTATGGAATGGCAAATCGATTCAGAGAAGATACTATTGAATTAATGGAAGAAGTTGGAGCACCAAATTTTCAACAAGAATACAACGCAGAGGAATGGGTTCCAATTGTGGTTGACTACTGGAACAACAAGTATAGAGGGCAACATAAGTTCAAAGTATTTGTATTCGGCTCCCTCGGTCACTACAAACCACTCTTCAAGTATGGACCGAATGATTTTGATATTCCCATCATCCTTTACTACAACAACAAGCATTTTGATGGAGTAAAGAGTGCTTCGGGAATATTTGGAAAATTATATTGCTTGTCCTGTGAAAAGGTATACGACAAGCCAACCAACCATTCAATTAGCTGCAAGTCCAGGTGCAACAAATGCTCAAGAGTTGGACCTAATTTCCCCTGCATCATCATAGATGGTTTTCAAAAACTTTGCCAATTATGCTGCAAAGTTTTTTACAACAATAATTGTTATCAACATCACCTTCAATCTGGATTCTGCAATAAATCGAAACAGTGTGAGAAGTGTGGAGTTATATGGAATGTAAAAGACAACAACAAAAGAGGTCGTCAGGGTCATGTATGCGGCGAACGACATTGTTCTACTTGTAATGATTATCATATTCCAAAGAGAGGATGTTTCATCAAGCCTCTAGATCACAAGGACAACAAGAAATATCGCATCGTTGCATTTGACCTAGAAACAATGCAGCATCGACCTTCTGGTAATGGAAAACAACATGAACCCAACTTCATTTGTGCTAAAGTTACTTGCCCTGAATGTATTTTGGACGTAGGTTTTAAAATAAAAACTTATAATTTTTCTCTTTTTTAGATGAAGGAATGTAAAGTTTGTGGGGATAGAAGGACTATTACCTTTTCCCATAAACCCTTTACAAAAACATCAGTTGACAAAATGGTGGTAACTTCAGACCCGTTGGGAGCTTTTGTTGAATGGATACTTAATGATCTCCCACAAGAATATGATACATTTGCTTTTTCACATTTTGGCGGACGTTTCGACATGGTACTTGTCTTTAAAGAACTATTTTTGAGAGGTGAATTTATATTTAGTACAAAATAGAAAAAATTCTTCAGGTTTCACGCCTGAGATGTTGAAAAAGGGTAATAAAATGTATGAAATGAAGCTGATTTCTCGTGGTAAGAACAAAGGGAGCATCATTTTCCGTGACTCCTTTAATTTAATGCCGATGTCCTTGGCTGCTCTTGTCCCCGCATTTGCTCTTCAAGTGGAGGAAAAGCCATTCTTCCCCCACTTGGCTAACCACCCGAACAACTACGGCAAGGAGATCTTCCCATCACCATCAGACTATATAGCAGATGGAATGATGCCTGATAAAAGGAAATTATTTGATGAATGGTATCAACAACATCGCCATGAGCCTTTCAACCTGGAGGAGTCCCTAGCGGCGTATTGTACCAACGACGTGGAGATTTTAATGGCCGCTCTCATTGCGTTCCGCAATGAATTCATAGAGGTAAATTAGTTTAAAATATTAAATATTTTATTTTAAGGTTTCAAAGCGTGAAGCTGGACAACGACCAGCATCGAACAAGGGACATGAGGGGATTGATGTGCTTCGTGAGGCCATGACAATCGCGTCGGCCTGTATGAAGCACTTCCGATCAAACCATCTAAAGATCGACCATGTTGGCATTGTTCCGGAACGTGGGTATGATAATATTGAAAACCAAAGCAAAATGGCCCTGAAATTTCTTGAATGGTATGGAGAGGCAAATAATGTTCAAGTTCAGACTGCCATCACTGCGGGCGGTGAAAAAAGGTAAAATTAAAAAATAAAATTAGAAAACTAAACCAAAATAATTAATTTAAGAGTTGGCAATTATCATTTGGACGGGTGGGTGAAGGATATGCAGCTTGGAATTGAAGTCAACGGATGCTGCTGGCATGGGTGCTCCAATTGCTTCCCCGATGACAACACTGTTTTACCCAATGGTAAAACAGCAGGAAAACAACGGGAATTGGATCAGCAGCGACTTAATTTCATCAAATCTCAAATTCCCAACATTGAAGTATATTGGGAGTGCGAGATCGAGAATATGGTGAAAAAAGACCGGGAAATGCGCCGCAAGTTTGAAACTTATGTTGATAATGGGCCTGTAGAGATTAGAAATAGTTTCTTTGGCGGAAGAACCGGTCCACTGAAACTTTTCTACAAGCCAAAGGATGGGGAAAGAATTAGCTACTATGATGTAACGTCCCTTTACCCGTTCATCAATGTATCGACCAACTACCCAATCGGACACCCAATTGTCCATGTTCTCAATGAAGATGTTTCTTGGACTTGCTCTGCTGACAACAAATACAATTTGGCCATTTTAAAGGTATTTTTATGTGTTTGAAAAATATATTAAGGTTTTAGGTATTTGTCATCCCTCCTCGCAAAATAGACGTACCAGTCCTGCCTGTAAAGTTGGATGAGCGTCTACTTTTCCCGCTGTGTGCAGCTTGTGCTCGCCTTTATCCGAAAGGCAAAGTCGAGGAGAACTACAACTGTCAACATACAGACGAGCAACGAGGCTGGGTGAGCACTTGTACTTCGTTGGAGTTGAACGTAGCACTTGATGAGGTATCTTTTAATATATGGTTAATTTAATCTATTATTTTATAGGGATACATTGTAACAAAATTGTTCCGGGTCCTGGAGTATACAGCTTCTGATGGCGGGCTCTTCAATTCGTACATTGCCGAATTCATGGCCCAAAAAATCCATGCTTCCGGCTTTGACGACTCGATTAAGGGTAATATTGAAGCGGAGAACAACTTCATCAAAGAATGCGATGAAATGTTCAATATAAAGATCGAGCGGGAAAAAATGGTAAATTTAAAAATTAATTAGTTAAATTTTAAATATTTTAGATTCCAAACAAGGGAAAAAGGACACAAGCCAAGCTGTGTCTTAACAATCTTTGTAAGTTCTATTATATAAAATCAAAAATAATTTTAAATTTAGGGGGCAGGTTTTCACTGAGAAATTTTGGGCTTTCTCAGTGTACAGTGACAGATGACCCTGTGAAGGTTAGGAATTTGATGGATGACCAGAGCAAAGAAGTTACTGGATTGGATGAACTAACTCAGGATGTTGTGCTCATCAGCCATCAGACAAAGAAAGACTGGATTGAGGAGCATGACTGCTCCAACGTTGGTATGTTTTTTTGAAAGTTTTAAAAAATAAATAAATTTCTAGTGATATCCTTGTGGACGACGTCCGCTGCCCGCCTTCATTTGTTAAAAGCAATGCAGCAGGTAGTGCGATCTCCGGGATGCACATTGTTATATACAGGTAAAAATTCAACATAAGATTTAAGTAAATATTAAAATTTAGACACGGATTCATTAATTTTTGCACATCCCAATGAATCCTGCCCACTTCAACTAGGTCCACACCTGGGGATGTTCACCGATGAATACCCGAGGCATAAAATTCTCGAGTATTGCTCTGGCGGTGCCAAGCAATATGGACTCAAGTTACAACGCAAGGACCAGATGGATGCTGCTCCAGAATATGTTCTCAAAATTCGTGGGATCACTTTGAACTGGGACGTTGTTGTCAACCAAGGAATGCAGTATGAGAATTTTAAAGATAAAGTTTTAAGTTTTGCTAATGAAGGATGTACCCCTATAAATATTGTTTACCCAAATTTTCTTAGGCCTACTGTAAAAAGAGGTGCTGTAATAACCCAATCTATGAAAAAACTTTATAAGCCTTTTGTCGGCAAGGGTGTTTTACGCCCGAGCGACTTTTCTGTTATTGATTATGGTTTAAATTCTAATTAATTAATGTATCTTTCTTTCTTTAATTTATAATTTTGTAACTTAATATTTTCTTTTATTTATTCTAATAAAATTATAATGCAAAATTAGTGTAAAGAAGTAATTGGTTTTGAGGGCAAAATTACAGAATTAAGCAAAAGAAGAAAATATTTTAAGATTAAAGAAAAGAAGTAGTAGATTTTAGGGAAAAATTGCATAATTAGTGCAAGGAAAAAACAATTAAAAATTTAAAATAACTGTTTTTAAAATTAACAATTATAAGTAGTCATTTTTAGGGGGAAAATTGCAGAATTAATAAAATGGAGATTAAATTTGGAAAAATTCATAAAAATTATATGTCTTTGTACACACAGACAATGTTCACGCACATATGTGATTACCAACCTTCCATCTCATCCAACATATCAAACTCTAATGGTTCATCGTTTTTGTCCGAATCAGAATTTGCCTTGTCGATTCGAAGTTTGTCTGAAACATCTACATATAGTGGTTTATCGTTGTCCTTAATTGGGAAGCTAATATAATCCTCTTCTTTATCATCGACCAGCTCGAGTAATTCAAGAGGGTAGTAGCGGTCCTCGCACCTACGTGGAAACTTTTCTACAACGCATTGGAGATAAGGATAACGTAGACGAATCCTATGTCTTGAATAGTAATGAGCCGTGACCGAAACATTGTAAGGACGAGACAGTGCCCCGTACGCCATTAATGTATGTGCTCCTTAATGAAATTTTAAAGTAATTGGTGGGTAATGATCGGAACCTTTATGCGTGAATCCGTGGAATGTGAAAGTTTTGCGGAAGTCGTTACGATCAGAATAAAGGGTTCGAACAATCCTTCCTTTGAGCTTCGAATGTAGAATGGCACGCTTTGCCGGGTGGTTTAAATGATCGCGAAGAGACTTTGGATGGCAATTAAGTATGTCGGCGCATTCATCGATTAAATGACGCATTTCTAGAATTGAATGAATGAATGAAATTAAAAAATTCGCGTTTATATACCCCCTCTGAACACCCTGAAACAATCAATTATGATTTAAATAAGACTTTAATTTAATTAATTAAGATGGTCCCTTTTTCTTTCTCACACTTTATAATAAAAATCAAATGACCTTGGTAAACGGTCAATAGGTAAGAATAATATACAAAAAGCAATTAATCGACAGGATTATTGAAGATACACCTTATATTCTTTACCTTTATTTTTTATTCATTTTATATATTTTAGTTTTATTTTTTAAATGAGTGAAATTGAAGAAATTAGTAGTGATCTTCTTTCAACTCAGCGAGAATTGGGGATATTGTATATACGTGTTAGACGAATAGAAATTTGGGCGGAAGCTGAGGTTTAAATTTTTGATTATATCTTAATAACTTGTTATTCCAAGCTAAACTTCCCTCGCCCATTATTTCCATTGGATGAAACAATTGATGCAATACGAGATCGTATACGGGCTCGTGGACAGTCAAATGGACAACAACAACAACAGCATAATAAGTCATCAAACGAAAATGGTTAGAGATAAAATGTTTATTTGTAATAAGATTTTTATAATTAGGGCATTATGACCAAGTTGTGCCACAACAGCAACAAACTACTCCACAGGGTAGTTCAGGTAATTAATTTTAATATTTTAATAGTTTTATAGAGTAATCTATAATTTATATTTTATAGATCAATATTTATATTTATTTATATTTTTATAGAGCAAGTTGTGCCAGAGCGAGACTAGAGATGAATAAAATTGATAAAAAATTGTTAATAATGATTAATTATATAATTTTGGATAAATATATAAAATTAGTTGATTTTTTAGTTAGTAAAATTTCTGTGATGGTCCCTTACTATTTGTGTGTATATATTATTAAAATAAAAAATATTATTCTTTTTGATCTTTAAATAATTGCCGCTTTTTTTATTGCGTGCCGTTTTCGTAAAACAGCTGGCGTAACTGACTTTTCGCCTATGACCTTGCGGGAGTAAGTGAGAGAATAGAGAATTTATTGTAATTTTATTCAAATAATGTTATACATTTCCTTTTGTACATTTCCTTGATTATCCTTTATTTTTGTTTTTAATTTTTATTGGTGTCCTTATTTTTCTTTGAATTTTTAATTTTAGAATTATTTTTAAAAAATGGAGAACAACAACAACAACATAGATTTAGGTCTATCAAAAATGATGGACAAATTAAGCTTAAGGGTTTCAAATTTGAGGGAGGACACCGTTGATATGCGGTCTATGGTCGAAGCCCATCACATACAAATCTCGAGACTACATCAAGATATTTTTGTGGATAGGGAGATGATTAGAAATCTCCAATTTCGTTTAGAAATGGTGGAGTATTGGGCTGAACAAGTAATTAATTTTTAATTTCATCAATTTTTTATTTTCTAAGATTGGGATTGGAAACTTCAACATAATATTTCCGCCTGTAGATGAAGAGTTGATACATCAGTATCAACAAATGGAGGTGGATCCTCCAGAAGAACAACAACAGGTTGAAAATCCTGTAAATGGTGAAGAAATGGATGAAACTTGGAGTGAGGAAGAAGAGGTTGCAATGGACAACCAGTAAATTTTGAATTTTAAAATTAAATTTGGAAAAATATTGTTTTGGATTAGGGTTGTTCACGACCGGTTTTAATTGAAAATTTTGATTTTTTATATTTTTTATGGAATTTAAAAAACCGAATCTAAAACATTCCTCTAAAACACAACTTGTATTTGACTAAAACTCAAAACAAAAGACCGAATTTTTAAAATTTGGATTAACCGAAAACCAGTTAATAACGAGTAGTGAACAAACCCATTTTGAATGTTTGTTAAATTATTAAATTTAAACTTGAACTTATTAATTTCGGAACTTTTTTAATTTTGAAAATAAAATTACTTGATAGATTCACACTATTTAATTTTAGTTCCATAATTATTTTATAAATATAAAAATATATAATTGAAAACGTTTATCCAAAAAATTAATGTAGCATTAAGTATTGAGTTTAGTGTTTTATTTGTTTGATTTGATGGTTTTGCATCAGCTTTGAGCGTTAATTGTTATTTTGTTTATAGTCTTGAACTTTGAGTGTTAATTGTTATTTTGTTTTAAGCCTTTAGCTTTGAGCGTTAATTGTTATTTTGGTTAAAGCCTTCAGTATCTGCGTTCCGCTGAAAATTTTAGAATACTAATATTTACTATATTAGGTAGTAAAATTATTTGGATAGATAATTGCCCCCCCCCTATAAACTTTAAATATATAAATTTAGAATATAAATTGTGTGAGATAATTAAAACATTTTCAGTTTTTAATAATTAGAGAAAATTACCGGAACCTTCAACCCCTTTCTCTCGGCAGCTTTGCCCATTTTCTGTAATTTTTTTCTTAAATTCTGCTTTTGTTGTTGCGTCATGTGTTCTTTATTCCCTAATTTAGCTAAGCCTGGGAAAACTTTAACGATTTGGATGTCTGGATTAGCTGCAGACAAATTATTAATAATTCTTTCAACTTTTTCATTTCTAGCAAAGCCTCCCAGATGTATCACCGTGTCGGTGATACCATCCTTTACTCCCTCATCGTAAAGCACAGCCGGAGCATCAGCAAAGATTGTGGCAGGCTCCCACTGAGCCTCTTCGGGAGTAAAACCCTGCCACTGAACTAGCGCCCTCACAGGTAGTCCATCCTCCCCAAATTCTTTTTCTATAATTTTCTCTATAATCCAAAAAGCTCTTCCATTTTGGTCAACTCTGTCCGGTAATACCAATTCCTTTATTTAAGTAAATATATTTAATTATATAATGTTATATTTTTATAAAACTATGTCCTAAAATGAAACCTCTGAACTAATTTTAAACTAAATAATTCCAACTATTGCAATAAAAAAGTAAAATGTTTAAATCGAAATAAGGAAAGGCTCAACGCAAGACATAATATGTCTGCGTCTGTACCTCTCCTTTATGGAACTACTCAACGCTAGTCAAAAATGACTGCGTCTGTGTAGAACCATAATACAGAAGTTTCTTTTACTTTTTTATTATTTTTTATTTTCAAAAATTCAATTATTTTACTTTTATTTTACAAAAATTCAACTCCCAAATTAAATAATTCTAACTATTGAAATAAAAAAGTAAAAAAGTTCAAATCGAAACAAGAAAAGGCTCAACGCAAGACTTATGTCTGCGTCTGTACCTTTCCTTTATGGAACCACTCAACGCTAGTCAAAATGACTGCGTCTGTGTAGAACCATAATACAGAAATTCAAAAATATTACTTTTTTATTTCACAAATTAATATACCTAATTCTAAATATAAAAAATTTTTTACCCCAGCAGCATTTCTTTCACCGTATTTTTCAAGCAAAGCTGGACACTTTGATTTTGGATGGTCCAGATGTTTGCAACGGTTTTTTTGAACAACCGGTAATATACGAGCAGCTTCATTAATACCACGAGGAACATTGTCTAAATTATACATTTTAGAATGCTTGAAAATATAACGGGTTTTTCTAAAACCTGGTATGTCGACCTCCTCCTCAGGGAAGACCTCTTCCTCATTTACAATAACCTCCTCCTCCTCCTCTACAGCTTCATTTAAAATAACAATAGTTTCGTTGAAAGAAACTTCTTTTCCTAATAATTATTGATTACTATTCATTTTTTATAAATAGATGATTTTACTTTGTTTAAAGCCTTCAGCATCGGTGTCCCGCTGAGAGTCGGTCTCAGTTTGAATAGCACCTTTTCCCATTTTTTTATCTTTTTTTTTCAAAGGTCCTACAATATTAAGTAGGATAATAAAAATTATAATAATATAAACCGGCTTTAGTAATTGATTCGAGTGAGCATAAGGTTGGTGGAGCGACTCGACGTCGCGGTTGATCGACTTGATATAAATATAGATAAATATTTTTTTTAAAACCTGGGGGTTGTATTGAGGAGGAACAGCTTTGGACATAACTTCCATGCGGGAGTCCTATATTCATTAGAAAATTTGAATATAAATAAAAAGTACTTGTTTGGGAGCGGGTATAAGGTTTCTCGTACGGATCGTTATCGTCTGAATTTAATTAAATTAATATCTATATACATAAATAAAACAAACATTCAAAGCCGTCGAATGTTTCCTCTACTTTTTTTTTCAAACCAAGTTGTCTTGACCTGTCTGACATTTTAGTTATTATAGACGAACAGCTGTTTGCACTTCACGAGAAGAGATGGTAGAGCGCTTGTTGTAATGCGTAAGTCACGAAGTCTCAGTAATAATTAACACGGACAGGTTAAATAATCCCAACAATAGTTTAAGGAAAATGTTTAAAGAAAAATTTTTAATTAAAATTAATCAAAACAACTCAAAAAAATCAAAAAATTTTGATTAAGTTGAGTGAATTTTATTAAAAAGAAAAAAATTTTCCCAAAAATTATCTAATTTTGAGAAATTTTTTCATGGTTAAGTGGTATACCGGTGGGGATTTTAAGAGCAAGGTTCGAACCCTTTTGGGTTTATAATTTTTAAAACTATATAAAAAGAGAATATAAAAGAGATCTCACGAGAAGAAATGGTAGAGCGCTTGTTGTAATGTGCAAGTCGCGAAGCCTCAGAATCCTTAGAATAAAAATAATAGCTTAAATAAAATGTTAAAAAGAAATTTTTTGATTAAAATTAATCGAAATATTTTAATACTGGGAAAATTTTTCATGGTTAAGTGGTATACTGCTGGAATTTTTTAGGTGTGAGGTTCGAACCCTTGGTGGTCTATAATTTTTAAAACTATTTGAAAACAATATAATTTACCTTTATTTTCCAATGGAGGTGTTTTTTAGACGAACAGCTGTTTGCACCTCACGAGAAGAAATGGTAGAGCGCTTGTTGTAATAATCAAAAATTGTTTAAATATTTATGAAGAAATTAGTAAAAATTTGTCAACAAATTTTTAAAAAACCTAAAAATATAATTTTACAATTTTTTATAAAAATTAAAAAAAAATCTGAAAAATTAATAAAAATGATGAAAAAATTTTTTATACATTATTATTTATGCAATCAATCAAAGGGGAGAAGAAAAGTACTCTGAGAAAAACGCTTGGCGTCTTTTCTCAGTGTACTTTTCTTCTCCCTTTTTTTCTTCTTCTACTTAGGCATAAAATTATTTAAATTATTTTTTACTAAAAAATAGAATAAAATTTTTCGCGCACAATTTAACACCTTAAAATTTTCCTTTACCCCTCACACAACCAATTTGTCAACAATTAGTATATTAAAAAATTCCCCCGTACCCCCTCCCTTAGACCAATTTGTAAACCATTTAATTTTTAATCTTCCCCCTTACCCCAACCCCGATCAATTAGTCAACTAATTAGCACCTCGAAATCCCCCTTACACCCAACCCCGACCAATTATTAGAACAAATTGTTTTCCTTGCCCCCTCCCCCTAATTAATTCAAAACACCCCATTAGGATTGGATTTCCCCTTACCCCCTCCCCCATCGCGCGCCAAAACCCTTCAATAGGCTGACGTTTATGGGGGCGGACCCCTCCCCCAACCAGACCCTTCAATAGGTTGGCGGCATTTTCCTTTGATACGGTTACGGGAGGGTAACTACTAAGGCATTTTTAAATGTTAAAATTTTTATTTCCTCCAAATGGACGTCTTTTACAGACTTGCATATTTTGTTGTATAATTTCCTTTACAAATTTATTTTTTCAATCTTACTCAACTTTTTATACGAATACTGCTGCGGAGAACATTCAAAAATATATTAATGATTCTTATCTTGCACGCGGACAAAAAATTTCCGAAAATTATTTATTGTGGTTTTGGAATTTTGTTTTGAATTTGCCCTTTCTTGGGTTTTTATTGAGTAATTTATTAGCTCCTTATTTTTGTGAAAGTTTTGGAAGAAGAGGTTGGGGGATTTTTTAGTTCAAAATAAATAATTATTTAATTAGCTACTTTGATTTACACAAATGTTGCTTCCTTCATTTCTGCTTTATTAACTACAATCTCAGTTATATATTTAATTCCAGAATTATTTTTAATAAGCAGAGTGTTTGGTTCAGCCGTGACAAATATTAATTTTTGTGCTTTTAGTCTCTTTGCAACGGTTTTAGATACAGACTGATCTTATTATAAGATACTCCCTTTGGCTGAGAAAATTTTTTCGACTCGAAACCCGGTCCTAATAAAATTTTTAACGATCAAGATGCCAGGGTTCCTCTATTTAGGAAGGCCAGAACAATTTTTTAAATAATGGCCGTCCTTAAGGGGTGTATTTTTGTCCACCCCCCCCCCTCATGGAAGCTGAAGGGCCAAAAAAGACGAAATTCAGAGTAAGACGGAATTGGAAGAAAATTCAGCCTTGTTAGGTACCTTGCTTCATTTCAAGTCGACCATATTTTGACAATAGACGTGTGGGGAATATCTTATAGTGAGATAACTAGAAATAATCAACTTAGTATTTATTAAAACAGGAATTTCCTGCCACAAAATATAGAGGTTTAGCCGTATATATAGGAGGCTTTAATTTTAATCTTGGTGGAAATATTGGAATGATTTTGGGCATGGATTGGTTTTTAGGAAAGAATTTAGTTCTTTTAACAGGCTAGAAAATAATTTAATAATTGAAAGAAATATTTTTTAATTTTAAAGGAATAACTTTATTACCTACATTTTTGGCTTTTCTTTTACTTTTTCCAATAAAAGAAACACCAAAATTTCTTTATCTTAAAAGACAAGACAAAAAAGCAATGTTGGAGGCATTAAAATTTTATCAAGGTTGAGAAAAATTTTTTCCTTTCAGTACAAAAAATAAAGAATTTGTGAAAACAGTGGAAGTAGAAACAAGCATTAGCACACCGTTTAACATAAATCTCTTTATTTAGTTTACAAATAGAAATATGATTGATAAATAAGTTTAAGAGTTACCCTAGGCTAGATTTGAAAATCGATAAATTAACGTTTCTGGGCCAAGTTAATCCTTAAAGAGACTACTAGGATCAAATAAGAGTGTTCTCTCAATATCATCTACAACAGTGCTGTATGTCTCCGGGAGCTAGCTCCGAAGCCCGGCTCCGGCCGGAGCCGAAGCCAAGATTTTAAAAGCCCGGAGCTCGGAACCGGAGCCAACAAATGCCAAATACCCAGCACTGCTCTATTATAACCTTAAAATAATGACTTATTAATAAATTTAATGAAAAAATAATTAAAAAGGTGACAATTTTAACCACGAAGAATTTCTTCACGAATTGGAGGAAGAACGTCAAGATAACGATAAGAGCGACGACAAAACTCCAATTTTTCACATTCTAAAGGAAATTTTTACTCAAAAACATTTACTTCTTGCAACTATATTGAGTGCTGCTTCTCTCCAGTTAAATATCGGGCCTTGGCCCGTGGCTACAACTTTATTGTCCTACCATTTTGATATTGAACAAGCACAATTTTTTGCTACTTTTGGGGCTTTTTGTTCTTTAATTGTGACTATTCCAGGCATTCTTATGTCCGAACGGTATGTTTATCTGAACGGTAGAGAAGAGGGTTAAGGATAAGAATATAGGCAGGAAACTGTTATGTCCATCGGGCTAACACTTAGACAAACACCAAGCTTGATCACTCACTGAAAATGCAATAGTAGTTAAGGGGTTTAGGTACAAGAGGAGAGAATAAAGAGACTATACCATAAACAGCAGAAACCCCGTGTTCCTCAATAAGGTTGGCTGATATCCGGATCCGAAAAAAGGCCGGATATCAGGAAATTCTCG